AAAATACCCACATCTCTTCCCCAACTCTCGATGTCCCGGTCAAAGTGCTAATTTCGGGACGAAATTCCTTCTAACGGGGGGATGATGTGACAACCGTCACTTTCTGGTAATGTCAAAGTCAAAGAAAGTCAACAAGTCAAACCGGCCAACTCAAATAACCCTTGTATATTAGGATTTACATTATGTTTACTATTGTACAACACACCATCCTAATGAAAAGTATCACTTAGAGTTTTCACGTGTTCTGAAAATCTAAACCCTCATCAGGGTAAGTGATGGAACTACTCAATAAAACATTAATACATACCTTACAAGAGCATATAACACTCATAACGAGGCATAACAGGGTTTTCAAACTTTGCATTTCGAAGTTGAACACTCGCAAAGGTCACAAACAAAGTCTCTGTCGATCTCTCTCACTCTATCTAAATCTCTCCCAAATCTCTCTCAAAATCTCTTTCAACTTTTATAATCACTCGGGGCATCCCGACCCTTAATTTAGTCAAAAACAACTCGAAACGGGAAGATAAACGGAAAAACATCCCTAAAGGACCGAACCCTCTTAAGGAACCGAACCTCCCTTAAGGAACCGAAGCCTCCTAGACCCAAAACCTCTTAAGGAACCGAAATTCCCTTAAGGAACCGAAGCCTCCTAGACCCGAAACCTCTTAGAACCGAACTCCCCTTATAGGACCGAACTCACTTCGGTTCGGGTCAAGTCCTTTCGGTCCGAAACAAGTACTTTCGGTTCATTCTACTTTCGGTCCATTTCGCCTCCGATGTGCCTTCGGTTCCCACCTGGGCAGTTTCGCGTGCAAGCCTTTAGGACCGAACCTACCTTCGGTTCTAAGCTCCAAGGACCGAGCTTCGCCTCCTGACCTCGGATTTTCGCAGATTCGCTCCTTTTTCCCGGTTTTCGACCACTTTCGCGTTTTAAGCTCGTCTTTCATGATTTTAACATGGGTTTTTCACCCAAACCCATATTTTAATATATTAAACTCGATAGACCCATAATTTAATTATATCTTTGAGGGAAAATCATATCTTTGGACAAAATCTTGTACAAGACATGGCTTTGGAGTGTTGACTTAGCCAAGAATCTATGACACCAACCACCCACCCACTCCATGACCACTCCATGTCACTATTCCCACCTTGCTCTAGTCAATTCGAGATCTTCCCATCCCTCCATCAAATCTCTTCCATCAGCCCACTCTCTAATCCCTCACTCTTCCATCTATAAAACCCCACTTTCCTCCTCCCAAGATACACTTTTACTTCCTCTTATATTCTCTCTAGAAACTCGAGTTCCTCCAAGAGACCCAAGTCTTTCCCCTGTTGCTGATCTTCAAATCTTCAAGCATCTCCCAAGTGTTATTGACTTGGAAACCTCTCTTCTTCCACATTCAACTCAGGAAATCACTCAAGGTGAGTTCATACCCCTACATTTTTCATGTTTTCTTCAAGTTTTAGGGGGGGGGGGATACAAGTTAAAATACCAAAAACTTAACTAAATTCAAACAACAGCTTTCATTAGAAACGTTGAGTCCTATTCACGAACTGTTTTGACCAACTTAGACTTAATATCTTTCAAAACTGTTTAATATGCAAATAGTTCAGGTTCATACCTTTAAAATGACTACTTTCACATCTCCATACGATTTTTCTACAATTTATGGCGATTTCTACAAAACTGTCTATCATTTCAGAAACGAATTCGGACCAGTCTGTGAATATGAACATTTTCACACAAGTTAGGGACTTCTAAAAATCATAATAAAAATTATGAATAAACCAGTCAAATTTTCTAAACTCTCAGAGTTCACAGATTCAGTTTTCGACTTCGTATGATTTTTCTATGATTCTTCTAAAACAGTGCAGATAAGTTAAAGACTACTTACATAGTTTACAATATTAACAACACTTTGTAGTATGTTGAGCAAAGTGCATAACAATAAGTTTCTAAATGTTGAATGTATTTCTTGCTATTTTATCATCATAAACAGAAATTAGTCATACATGATAAGGTTTTCATTCATTTCGAACACATATAATAAACTACAATAAGTATAGTTTATGGATTTTACGATAAAAGCACACTACATGAAAAAGGTTTTACTCTCAAAACAAATGGGTTTTTAATATACTACATGATAAACTATAATAGTAGTAGTTTATGGATTTCATATCACTAATTTATTTCATAAAAGGTGATTTCACTTCCACCACGGAAGAGGTTTTACACTCAAACTATATGTAAACTAGTTAACGTAAGTTGTGAGACAATTCTTCCATCGTACTCTTAGGGTACGGGTTCAAACTTCCTGTAAGTTATAACCAGAGTCTCTTGTAGGGAGAGCGTGATAATTTTGTATAGATCTATATTGGGATTGACACCCCACACCTCGCTGCTAGCTACAGTCGGACCTGCAGGTCTACGGGTGACAAGAGTCATAGGATCTTAACGTCTGGAAAACGTTGTTGCAGGTTAATTCTCGTTGTAGTATGGTTATAACGACTTACGTAGGGAGTTAACAATCTTTCAAGTTTACGGGGAAATTCTACTTCAAAAAGGGGTTTTATCTATCTAAAACTGCATACTCTCAGTCATGGGATTTAAGACTACAAGACTTTTATAAGGAAAATATTGGATTTTCTTTGGAAACACATCACTATTATAAACCTTATAAGTACAAAACACACACATATTCTCAGTCTTGGGATTTAAGACTACATGACTTTTATAAGGAAAATATTGGATTTTCTTTGGAAACACATCACTATTATAAACATTATAAGTACAAAACACACACATACTCTCAGTCTTGGGATTTAAGACTACATGACTTTTATAAGGAAAATATTGGATTTTCTTTGGAAATACATCACTATTATAAACATTATAAGTACAAAACCTACACATACTCTTAGTCTTGGGATTTAAGACTACATGACTTTTATAAGGAAAATATTGAACTTTTTGGAATCATACTCTATCGCTTTTACAAGGAAAACAGCTTCTTTCTCAAATAAAACTCTTATGAACTCACAAACTTAATTGTTGACACTCTTTCAAAACTACTTGTATTATCAGGAAATCAGTGAAACAGGAAATCAACAGATTTTGAGGATGGGACGTTAAATCGTCAAACATTTCATTTTTTCATCATAGTGTAATTGATTTGAATCATGTAAACACATACTATGGTGTAACTTTTTCAATTATATTTATGATGGTTGTATTTACTCTGAGCACTATTATACTCGTTGTTGTGATACTATACATGAAGTCCTCCACCCCCGGACGTTTCCGCCATCCTTGGTTTGGGGGTGTGACACAATTGGACAGAAACTTGGAATCATATGATTTGAATCATGTGATGTATGAAAATATTGGTACTTGGGAAATTGAGACTAATTGCTTGTTTACATGTATATGTAAGTCAAGTGAAAGATGAAAGGATCTAGTACACAATGATGTGAACTGGTTAGATCCACCACAAAGAATGATAAAGACTATTCGTCATTATTTACTAAAAGTTTAGTAAATATGGTTATACTTACAAGACAATGTGTAATTCTGAATCATTGAAAAAGTTTCAATGAATAGCAGAATGAATAAGAAGAATCAATTAGGCAGAAAGATAAAAGTTTCTCCAATCCAAAAGGAAAGGAGAGTACTTTAATATCGTGTTTTATGATCATCCTAATGATTATGGAACCATATCTCAACCGATACTCTAAGGACACCTTAGTGCACTTGCATGACTAAGAAGAGGAATCAAGAATTGTTAAAATGGTTAAATCAAAAAGGTGGGTCATACTTCGTTCCAAAATCGAGTCTTAGAGTCATACTCCAAGATTGTGTCTTGAGTGACATAATCTTAAGTAGGTTTATAACACATCATGAAATGTGATAGGTGTCTTACTCTTTCACATTTGAAATTGGTAATTGTGATGTCTTGGATAAGATAAAGACCAACCAAGACCAATTATGTGAAGTGTTGTTCTTGATAAGAACTCACATTAACTCTTAAATATTTGATTGCCGAGAAATGTTCCTTGACAGAGAATCTTATATGTCAAGAGGTCAGTGGGAGTCTTAATGGTCATGAATAGGTTTAGGAACTAGTTAAGAATAAACCTATTGTTACCACTAGCACACGACTTAAGGTTTATAACCTATCGTATTGACATATTCTTGTTTCTGTGCCTATTCCAGTTAGTTTGACTAGGCATGTGAGTTCTATGAGTTCTCATTTGAATGCATAAGGCAAAGCACCTTGATCAATGGAAAGTACATTGATTTGTATAGGTGAGCTGCTTAATAACATGGAAGCAATGGTAAGACCCTTATGCTGCTAGATGGCAGGAAATTAAGAATGAACTAGTTCAGTCCATATGAGTTTGGATTTGTCACAGACCTTGTCTTGTGATTATGGTTTTGACAAATTCACATGGATAGGAACGCATACACTATTAAATCTAAGTGGTAAAGGTTTCTCTCCGCTTCATGAATATGATTGTGAGGAAACTCTTTCACTAAGTAGATTTTAAAGATTACAGTTGTGTTAATTGCATTCTCAAATTCGATTATGATTACGGCATCCACTACTAGAAAAACAACCTTTTACGACGCGCAATGCGTGTCGTAAAACGCTCAGACGACGCGCAAATGCGTGTCAAGAAAGGCCCTGTCATAACGAGAGACGACACGCTTTTGCGCGTCGTCTATAGACGACGCGCAGTTATGACACGCATTTACGACGCTCATTTACGACACACAATGCGTATCAAGGAAGGCCCTGTCATAAATGAAGACGACACGTATTTGTGTGTCGTAACCTTACGACACGCGTTTAGGACACGCATTGCGTATCATTAAAGCCCCTGTCATAAATGAAGATGACACGCATTTGCGTGTCATAATTTTAAATGTTTTAAAAATTATGTATTTTGATAGATTTAGCAATTTTCAAATTAAATAACACATTAAAAGTCTAATAATACAAAATAAAATACAATAAATAAGAAAGATAATTCATTGCACTAATATGTCAAATACAAATTATCATTCCAATAGTAAGTAAATATAATACATTGCTAATATTGCATAATATTTATTATAGAAAAACCAAACATGTACAACATTAAAAGGAACCCGTGAGTAATTTCTCCTTTGACAATCTTCATGGCAACTTTAAGCCTTGCAACCTCACCATGGAAAAAAATTGCGTATAAATATCAAAAAACAAGATAGGAGCCAATCATTCTACGACACTACATAAAAAAATATCACTAGAGAACTATGAAAAAAAATATGTATGGGTGAGGAGTGGAGAAATGTAAGTAGAGTACCTTAGATGTAAGTGTGGAACTAGTTATGCTGATGAAGTTAGCTCCTACTTCATTTGCAAGTGCTTTGGCAACAAGTGTTTTCCTAGGAGGCCCAAAAAGCAATATTCCTTTGCAAGGCTGACTACAAATCAAAAAACTTTTCTTAGCTACACTACATAAAGTCAAAAGATAAAATAAAATAAAATAAAAAATACAGGCCCAAAAACCAATGTCATCAGTCTTTATACCAAGTTCATGTAATACAGACCTTCAGTTTTTTCGTACATGTGAAAATCTCATGGCCTAAAAACATGTTAAATTATGTCATGTCATCATAAATCTTCTTTTAACATAAGGAATACTACATTCACCATAAATTGTCTTAAACTTTTTACCTTTTCATTTGTCCAGAGCTCAAGGTAACTTTGCATCTCAATTTGCAACCTGAAACAAAACTTAGATTGTTAAACAATTTGTTTTTTTTCGTAAGTGAATAAACAGATACCCTTATTAAACCACAAATCCTATTTATTGCAGATTATGAGATGAAAATAAAATGAGTTAGATAAAGAAAAAGCTGATAGACCATGCATAAATCTGAGAGACTGGACTGCTCATAAGTAACCCATCAATCCACTGATTGTAGAAACAGCAAGCTTGGCCTGAGAACGACATCCATCCAGGCAGATCCTCTCTAAGAAAGGGTAGATAACAGTACACAACACATTTGTAAAAAAGTTAGGACTTCATGGAGAAAGCAAGCTTCGTTTCCTTGACCTTCTATATTAAGTTTTTCTTTCTGCATTAAGCTATATCCCCATTGAGTCATAGAAACAGCACCATCATATACACATATAATTCCTGTGGCTGAATAAGGATTTATCTTCTAACAATAGAGTGCAGAATTGCTCTTCTGAACCTCTAAGAAGGATTGGGAAAGCATTAACAATAACCTATACAGAAAGATACATAAAATTCTTTCAGTAGAACACACAAAACAGTTTTAAGTTTTAAGCAAATGAGTTAGCTACAACCACTATCTTAACCAGCCTTAATATAAATCAGCACATTTAGGTTTTAACATTAACCAGTTTCTGGACTAAAATGTCTTAACTTGATGCCATAACTCTTACCAAATGACATAGATCCATGACCTAAAACAAAAATGAGAAGGTGTTTATATGTGGAATTAAATCCATCCCAATTTTCACGCAACACTTTTATACGCGCATGAACATTAACACATCGCTTCAAAGTTCTAGCATTTGAAGAATTTGAAATTTGGTCAACATGTGGGGCTGATTTATGTTGACCAAAAGAGGCAGCCATAGCCATTGAAGATGATGAACTGGCTTTTCTTACAATGTCATTGATTGAGACTTTGGATTGAGTGAATTGAAGTGGTGGTTTAGAAGAGGTTAAAGGGTAAGTTGTATCATTTTCAAAAGTGGGGTCCGTTTCAACTTTTGAATGTTCATTTTTGGATATAATATTAGGATAATTGCCTCAATTAACAAGATTATGAGTAAAGTAAATAAAAAACCATATTATATCTGATAAAAGTAAAACAAAATTACTAGCTTGTGGATGCTAGCATTAAAAGAAGCATCATGGCTAAGTATAAGCACAGAATAATCAGCACCATGTACATTTGATTTGATGTTCTCCTTGAAGCATCATAGAGTGTCTCCAACAGAGGCATTAACTGGCCATTTTAATTGAAGAAAGAATCTCAGACAAGATAGACAACAAACAAGACTAAATGTATTTTGCTTTTTGTAATAATAGATTCATACCAATGTATCGATATCAGTCCGCACCAACACATATTCCAAAAAGTCTGAATTCCCATGAACCAAAGCATACAGTAGCAAAACAGCAGTTTCATCAGCCAAACACCTGCAAAGATCAATCACTTATATAAATAATATGTAAAATACAATTAGCTATAACAAAATTTTGAAGTGAAATGAGGTCTTACATGCCAAGTGAAATGAGGTCTTACATATCCTTTCGTATGATCTGGCAGCATGCTTGCTTCCTCAAATGACTATTAACAAATGTGATGGTATCAAGGGAGCTCAGTTCTTCTTTCATCTTACATGACTTGTGAAAAGATTTGGTTAAGTTTTCAATTTTTTGTCAATATGATTTAATTACAGTCTTGTTGAAGATACTTTGTCACTCTCAATTTGACACTCCACAAACCATACAAAGGGTAAGAAAGTAAAATATCAAATAAGATTTGAAAAGGGGACAAGATTTTGGGTTTTGTACCACTTGAATTTCCTTCATATTGACTGACATTGACTCACATGGAAGTTTTTTTGGCAGGAAGTTTGACCTTAATTCTTCAGACTCTGATATTCCAGATGCAAGTGATTTTACCCTTTTTTACATAATAAAAGAAAATAAGAAAGGAAAAAAAGAAGAAAATAAAGATTAAATTGCTAGATAGATGAGGGTAGTAAATAGTAAATTCCAGATGCAAGTGATTTTACCCTGTTCGTGGAAGCTCCCCCTCCCCCTCCCCCTTCGAATTGTGCTCCTAACTGTAACAGCACTTGCAGTACTATCATCATTCATACACAAACAAACAAAAATAAATATATCAGTAAATTAAAAACATTAATATATCAAAAGAAAAATTAGATATTAAATATTATTACTTCAATGTGTATGCACCCCCTGCTTTCACTTTCCCACAGTCCTTGCAACCCCAGATTCTAACTGCCTTTCTCTTCACAGTATACTGTTTCAAGAATTCAAAATATATACAAATTAATTTTAAATAAACAACAATGACGTTGCAAAAAAATACAAATTCATTAATGTAAAACTCCAAAAGTAGATGATTGATGAATGCCATGAAGAGAAAGATACAGATGCATAGGAAGAAAGAACTTATATAAGTATCAAGTTGTCTGATAAAACAAATCATTATCCATGTGTCAATACCAACTGTTGTTACATGAGAAAATCAACAACCTTGATCAGGTCAAATATTTCCCATGTTGCCCTGTTATCTCCCTTTAAGGACTGGGTGTTATTGCTCTTTAAGGACTGGATTGTCCTGGTTCAAGCATTTTATCGAACACTTGGTATGCATGGTGAAACTTTCTTTCAAATTTCAACATCAACTGGTTGGGTATCACTGAATATTGTTGTTGGGATATGACAGAGGCAAGTCAGTTGCCCCACATCTCATATTGCTTGCATAATCATCACCGAACTGAGATAATGTGCCAAATCCAATCAAATGTCAAATCCCAACAGAAGGAACAAATATATTTCCAAACCCCTAAATGTGACAATTTTACAAATCATAATTAAAGAAACCACTTCCCTTACCATGAAGCCGATCACCTAAATTGGACCAAACATGAGGCGATAGATAATACACACACGTTTAAATGGGGAAGCTTGAGGTGGCATCTTCATGCCAAGAAGGCATGACAAGGGCATCTTCTAAACCATAACAACGATTGCATTAATGAAAGCAATAATAATATGCGGATCTAAGAAGAAGAACAGAAGCAACGAAATCAATAAAATCTCAACTCTAGTAATGCGAAAAGTAAAAAGCACAACAAATAAATAAATATAGCAATTCTAATCACCAGAATACACCAACTATGAATACCGACTGATTTTATTGGGCAAAAAAAATCAACCGCTTACTTCAATTGGAGTAGACCAAAAACTTAAATGTGGAGATAGGACCGTCGATACTTATCTTGGTGGTGGACTGTGGCACGGCCGACGACGTCATACAAATCAACGACTCCTATTGCTTTCGCCCAAGTGAGTCTCCAACGAACATCACCGCCCTCGACTTCGTTCACTGTCGCCGCCCTCAACTAAATACGGTATCAGAGGAAAATAAGGTATCAGAGGCAAGGGATTCGACCCTTAGGAATTCCATACTATAAGATACTTATCTTGGTGGTGGACTGGGCTAATATTCCATGTTGACTAAATGGACTAAATCTATGTGAGAGTCCACGAAGTTAGTCCAAAGGGCCTATCATATGGATTATTGGATTTATGGCCCAAGTAAATGAATTAGGGTTTTCAAGTTGAAACCCTTAGGAATTCCATACTATAAAAGTAACCCCTAGCATGCAAAAATCGTCCACTCTATTCCAAGGTGAAACCCTAGCCGAATTTAGAGCTTCATAACCTCTATCTGAAAGTCCTCCTCTTGCTTTTGGTGTTTGTGAACCATTTGAGGAATCACACTTGAGGTGCTAAGCTCTTGAAAAGCCAAGTTCAACAAGCTACATAAAAGAGGTATTCATCTAACTAGTTTTTATGTTGTATATCTCCAATTTCATGCTAGCTAGGGTATATGCTTTGGATAATATGAAGTTGCATGTATAATTAGAGAAAACTTAGATCCAAGACATTAGGGTTGTATGTTGTCACACCCCAAAACCGGAACGGCGGAAACGTTCAGGGGTGGAGGACGTCATGTGTAGTATCACGAGATATGTATATGGTAAGCAAGTAATGAACAACCATTTCATTTCGAAAGAAAGTGTTTACAATGTGTGTGTTCACAAAACATAGAATTCATAAACAAATAACAAAACAATACTTGAAGCTATAATGCTCCATCTTCTGAGTTCCCAGCACGAGCACCTGTCTAATAGTCTCCTGAGAATACAAGTTATTTGAAAGAGTTGATCAGCAATTAAGCTGGTGAGTTCATAAGAGTTTAGTGATGTAAATAAGTTGTAAAGTGTTGTTAAAAATGTAGATGTAAAATGGTGTTAAAAATGTAGTTGTAACGTGTAGTTGTAAAATGTCGTAAGTTGTAAGTCCTGTTTTGAAAAGTTCGCCTGTTCCTCTAGAAAATCATATATTTCCTACTTTGATGGAAGTTTAAGTAAAATGACACTACAACCGATTCTATGGGTACTAAGTGGGTACAAGTTATATAAGACTCAGAGTAAACAAACAATCGATTGTGCGCATCTGCCCTAAGCTCACAACCAAACAAGGAACAGGAATTAAGGCGGATAGCACACATTCCATTGCTTGTTAGATCATCGTCATATATAACCCTGGTGTAATCACTTGTTACTCATGGAGTTAATTGTAATGTTTCCTTTATATCTAATGAAGAATTTCTTTAAGAAAACCCTTATTTCTTATAATAAAATAGTGACCATAGTGACTACTTTTTATAATAGCTTAGTTTATACTGTTAAATATAATCTAATATCGGATAGAAAGTTAATTGAGCAAATCTGCCCTAATTCCACAACCAAACGAGGAACATAAATTAAGGCGGAAAGGCACACATCCAACTACCTATTAGGTATTAGTTTTATACATAAACATGGTGTATAAACTAAGGTATTATAGAGTTACTCACCTAAGGTCTTTTAAATTGTACTAGTTTAATAAAATGGATTAAACCCTTTACCGGGAAGTTTCTAGTTTTGTATACCAAAAGTACTGAAAGTATGTTTTGTACTAGAAAACTGTGCTTTGACTCTGTGTCCTATAACCTGACCCATACCTGGTACCCTTATGATGACTCAATGTATACTAAGCATACATATATATAGAATCGGGTAGAAAATAGATTGGGTGAATTCGTTCCAAGCCCACAACCAAACAAGGAACATGAAATGAAGCGGAGAGCACACATCCTATTACCTGTCGAACCCTATTGGTATATATATATCCTGTTATGTATACATTAAGGAATCATAAGACTAGCATTATGGTCCTCTCTTTTATTCGTATCCTTCTACCAAGGCATCTTCTGTTATGTGCTAGACTCGACTGTTCCGTTTGTCTATTTTCCCTAGTTTATAACTATCTTGACTCGAAAATAGTTTGGGTTGGACTTTCAAGTGGTATCGTCACTTTATGAAAGAAAGGGAAGTGTAAGTACACAGTTGTCGTTTATAATGACATGCGGATGTACTAATAACCTAAAAACATATTTGTTTTATTACGGTTATAATGTGAAGGCTAGAACCCTTACTATACGCTCTCCCTGTCAGGAGATTAGGGGAAACTAAACACGACCTCTGCAAATTCTTGCAAGCCGTGTAATTCACATTAAAGTATATGATCATGTATACCCAATATAACTATCACCTTTTGTTTAAAACAATGAGTTAGTGATTCATTGGTATAATTAGATCCCGTATGTGTGTTCTCATGCTATAGCAACCTAACTTGTTTGTTTTGTACTGTATCTTGTACGTTCTGTTTGTTTCTAGCAATTTTGTGTTCTCTATTTATGGTATTGTTTGATTCTCTTCACTATCTGTTCTGTATGGTATTGTTTGTTTTTGTGCTTCATTGTACTAGAAGTAATGAATAGCATTCTCCTAAACTATACCTATTATAGCTTACTAATGTTCTACTTAGACTGTTACTGGAAAGACTCGTTTATCTACTAAGTTATGTTTGTACTTTAAAAACAAAGTTTTGTATAACTAGAAAGTAACATAACTTTAAAAGAGTTTTGAAATGTTTTGACGACTTATAAATGACATAAGTAACATTTTGAAAGATGTTTATAACAAACATTTACACAATTATCATTGTGTTCAACTTGTATCCCCCCCCTTGAAACAGTTAAAACAGTTAAAAGATTCATTACGGGGTATGAACTCACCTGATGTGGGTGATTCAAACGTGAATGCGTGTAAGGATGAGAAGTTCCACGAATGAAGTCCCGAGACACAACAGGTCCTAAATGACATATAAGGACACATATTGACATGAATATAGTGTTTATAAACAACTATATGAAAGGAAACACCTTCCGGGACTAGGAAACACCTTGATCAAGTGTTGGAATCACATGTGATTCATCAAAGGAAAGTGAAATGGCACTAACATGTGTTTACGGTTTAGGGACCAACTCCCTTGGAGTTTACGGTCGTAAACCCATGAGTTTACGGCCGTAAACTCATGGTACTTCTACCATTTTGTGTCTTGAAGTCTTAAAGGTCATAAGGAAGCATCCTAACTTCAAGTCTAAGCCTTAGGAAGTGATTGGGGCAACATTTCACCCCTTTGTAGAGTTTACGGCCCATGGACCACTTCTCCATGAGTTTACGGCCGTAAACTCTAATGGTCCTTGATGTTTTCGATGTTTAAGGTCCTATACACTTCAAGGATGGGTTCTGGGTCACTTGCCTTGCATCCTATAGGGTTTATGGCTCTAATGGCTACCAAAAAGGGGTTTACGGTCTTGGGAGTTTACGGCCGTAAACTCCCTTTGATCTTGTGGTCTTGATGTTTTCAAGCCTCTAAGCATGGATACTAACTAGATATGAAGTATAGGGAAGTGTACTTACGATCTAGAAGCTTGAAATGGTTGATATTGGCCAAGAACACTAGTGAGTGTTCTTGGTGTTCTTGGTGAAACTTGAAGATCTAAGAAAACATGATTTTTATGGATGAATCATGAGGATGAAGCTAGTTAAGAAGGATTATCAACAAACTAGAGAAAGAACACTTACGATTTTTGAAGATCAAGCATGAAGATCGGGATGATACTTGAGAGAAAACTCATGTGTTCTTGAAGGGAAAGTGAAAGAATGAAGAATAGTGAAGGAAATGAACTTATATGGAGGAGTTTACGGCCTACATGAGTTTACGGCCGTAAACTCCATGTTTACGGTCGTAAACTCCATTTGATGGAGTTTAGGGCTTGATTCTTGTACTGTGGCCTTTAGCAGATAAATTCCAACACTTATTCCTTAAGTGTACTAGGCTGAAACTCCTTAGAAAGACCTTTAACCGGGCTAGAACTCAGTACTAATGAGTTTGACACTCATTTGAGCTGATTGACTGGGCTTTAAAATCAAAAAAATTTCCGGGTTGTCACATATGTGCACCATAGGAGTGTTATAGTACTCAAAACCCATCAGGTGGAACCGGCTACGCGGGGCGTTGCTAGGAGTATGCTCGACGTACTCCGTCTACCTCTACTTTCACAAACTTTATGTTTTAATCCACTAAGACAACTAACCCAACCTCAGATCTGACCATTCTAAGATGTCTTAACCCTAAAGTCATTGACTTTAAGCCTTTTCATGGCTAGAAAAGTCCCAATGCAACAATCTTTAACTTCTAATACACTTTAAGCTACTTTACTCATGCATGAGCAAAAAGGAATGATCAAGCAACCATTTTTATGAATCTATAGGTCCTAAAATGCATGTAAGGCCAACTACAATTCCCTGGAGTGCTCGAAACTCATAAAGGTCCAATCTTGGGGGAAAAAGTTCATAAAACTTCAACCATGAAGATATAATGAAAAGCCTGCCAAGGTATAGACTTTATACCTGAAAATGATGCACAAAGAGGAAAAGTTTCTGGATCTACAAGCTTACTAGCACCCACTCCTTCTTCTCTAGTCTCCTTCTTCCACTACAAGCACCAAGAACACTCAAAAAGTATGCAAAAACTCACACAAGCAACTCAACTCGGAATTAGGGTTTAGGGAGGGTTTGGTGGCTGATAAGGATGATCAAATGGGGACATTATGTTCTTTAAATAAGGAGCAACCCTTAAAATTAGGGTTTGAAGTATGGGCTAGTACGTACGGCGTACCACACGTACACCCAACGTACTATTTGATCATCTGTGATTTTCATGTTGCATGAGTACGCTGCACGTACTCTTACGTATGCCCTGCGTATGACCGAAATAGCAAACCTTTTCTTCATGGGAGCAAATGTGCCACTTTTGATAAAGATACAAGAAATAATAAAAATACCTAATATCGGGATGTTATATTGACCGTTGACCGTTGATTTTGACCAAGTTTGACTTTAGGTGAAAGGGAACATTTTGAGTTATTGATTGAGACTTGGTCCCTGTTTGTTGTATATGTGACATGTAGAGTCGGTGTTTGTATTTGTAATCA